ATTTTAACTTTGCTAAAATCTACTTTATCAACATCTTCTCTCACGGAACGTGCCAAACTGAAGGTCATTCAGATTTTCATGCTTTCTGGAAGCTTGAAAGTGGAAGCTTCACATTTTGCATTTGAACTATGATCCACTTCAAGCTAATTTTTCAATGAGGTGTGAGGTATGAGTCTATGTCCTCCTCCCCCTCTTCCTGGAAGATGGACATTCAGTCATTCTGGAACTACTTGTTCTAAAATACTACCCTTTCCCTAAAGAACCTCCCAGCTACCCTTGTTTAAAAACCAGTTGGCCATACATATGTGAGCCTGTTCCTTCCCAGTTGAATCTCTATGTTTATCACTTCCCTGATACCATGCTGTCCAGACTCCAGCAGCTCTACAGTATGTCTTGGAATCAGGTAGCTGCACTTCCAATTTTCCCCTTTGATTGCTTCCATCCGTGTTTCAGCATAAAGATCTTGCACATATTTTGATAAACACATTTAAAAGTCATTGATATCTTTCTGTTACTTTTGCATATGGCACTTTAATTTTTTTAAGTTTCCAATTGTTCATAATTGATTTATGGATGCTGACTTAGAATCCTACCACCTATTGGTTACAATAGCATTTTGGTAGATTCATTGAGATGTTTTTCCTAAGTCACATTGAGAACAGAAAAAGGTTTTTTTCTTTCTTCCTTTCTAACCTGTCTTTTATTTTTACTTTTCTTGCCTTATTGTACTGATTATAGTTGGAGAGCATATTTTCTATAGTTTCAGTTTGTTTAAATTTTTAGTGGCATTTTGAAGACCCCAAATACGGTCTGTCTAAATTAATGTTCTATGAGCACATGAAAAAAATTGTGCTCACCTGTTGTTTGGTGTTGTATTCTATAAATGTCAATTAGGGCAGTCAGGATGTTTGACAGTGTTATTCAAGCCTTCTATACACTTACTGATTTTCTGTCTGCTTGTTCCATTAATTGCTGAAAGAGAAATGCTGAAGTCTCCAAATATCATTGTGGATTTTTCTAATTCTTATTTCAGTTGTTTTTGCTTCATGTATTTTTAAGCTTTGTTGGGGTATAGACATTTAGAATTTTGATATCTTGATGGTAAACTGACCTCCATGTTTTTCCCTTTGTGGGGAGGGCTGAGAAATAACTGCAGGCCTGCGCATTTTCTTTGGCTTTATTTTGCTGTTCAATCGCCTTCTTTTAAGCTGGATACCAAGCTCATCCAAGAATGAAAATGAAATGTGATCCTATAAATATGCCTTTTAAAAAAAGTATGTTATGTCAGAACAGGCACAATGTCCTCTCTTCTGGTCATCAACATTCTAATATTTAATACTGAAGTATTTCTAAAAGTTGAAAAATTTTTAAGTAATTTTTTTCTGAAAAGTAGCTCCACTGAATTTTACCTTAAGTGCATTTAATGATGTTTTTCTTCATTTCATTCAATATCAATCCAGGTGAATTTTAACAGTCCCCCCAGTGTTTCATTCTACTGAGATCCATTCAATAAAGCCATCAGATGAAAGCCAAATATTATTCACAGCCTGCCCTTGTGCACTATACATTTGTGTTCATCTTAGATAAAAAGTTACAATGCAGGTCCAAAGGATAATGTGGAAATTACTAACCAGCTTCAACTAAGTAAGGAATCTACCTATTAATCAAGAGGATTCAGCCCTGGCTGGTGTAGCTCAGTGGATTGAGTGTGGGTCAGTGAACCAAACAATCGTGGTTCAATTCCCAGTCAGGGCACTTGCCTGGGTTGCAGGCCAGTTCCCGGCAGGGGATGCACAAGAGGCAACCATACATTGATATTTCTCTCCCGCTCTCCTTCCCTTCCCCTCTAAAGATAAATAAATAAAATACTTAAAAAAAACTGAAACCAACTGAAAAAGGTCATATTAAGAAAAAAAAGAGGATCCATAACTTGCATTGTAGGAATGCAATTGAGTTAAAAGAAAGCATAAACAAACATAATTATTATTATTAAATAAAAAAATTTCTCAGTAGACATGGTAATAAATAGGAGACTTCCAGCCAAGATGGAGGTATAGGTAGATACACTTTGCTTTCTTGCACAACCAAAAGAAGGACAACAACAAATTTAAAAACAAAGACTGCCAGAAGTGCCAGAAACTCTAACTGTATGCAAGTCCAACAGCCAAGAAGTTAAAGAAGAAACATTTATCCAGACTGGTAGGAGGGGTGGAGACAGGCAGCCAGGGCAGAGAGGACCTGCAGCAAGGTGGCAGTCCAGTGGCCGGAAACCAAGCAGTCCCACGTTCACCTGCAAATAAAGCTGGGAGGAACAAATGGGGAGAGAGAGATACTGCACAACCCAGGGTTCCAGCATGGAAGAGTAAAGCTTCAAAACCTCTGGCTGTAAAAACCTATGGGAGTTGTGGCAGCAGGAAAAAACTTCCAGCCTCACAGGAGAGTCCACTGGAGGGGCCCACAAGGTCCTAGAATGTACCCAAGCCCACCCACCTAGGAATCAGCAACTGAAAGGGCACAGTCTGCTTGTGGGAAGCAAGGGAAGTGACTCAAAGCAGGGTGAAGGCCAATCAAGTGGCACTGTCCCCTCTCTGACCCCTCCCCACATACAGCACCACAACAGAGTGATGTGGGTTGCCCCAACCTGGCAAATACCTAAGGCTCCGCCCTTTATAACATAACAGGTGTGCTGACACAAAGAAACATGGCCCAAATGAAAGAACAGATCAAAATTCCAGAAAAACAACTAAGCGATGAGGAGATAGAAAACCTATCAGGATGCAGAGTTCAAAACACTGGTAACCAGGATGCTCACAGAAGTGATTGAGTTCAGTTACAAAATGAAGGAAGAAATGAAGGCTATGCAAAGTGAAATAAAGGAAAATATACAGGGAACCAACAGTGAAGGGAAGAAAATGAGGACTCAAATGAAACATTTAGAATAGAAGGAAGAAATAAACATTCAGCCAGAACATAATGAAGAAACAAAAATTCAGAAAAATGAGAAGAGGCTTAGGAACTTCCAGGACAACTTTAAACATTACAACATCTGAATCATAGGGGTACAACAAGAAGAGGAAGAGCAGGAAATTAAAAACTTAGTTGAAAACATAATGAAGAACATCCCCAATCTGGCAAAGGAAACAGACTTCCAGGAAGTCCAGGAAGCTCAGAGAGTTCCAAGGAAGTTGGACCCAAGGAAGCACATACCAAGCACATCATAATTATATTATCCAAGATTAAAGATAAGGAGAGAATCTTAAAAGCAGCAAGAGAAAAAGAGAGTTACCTATAAAGGAGTTCCCGTAAAACTATGAGCAGATTTCACAGAAGAAACCTTGTAGGCCAGAAGGGGCTAGAAAGAAGTATTCAAAGTAATGAAAGGCAAGGACCTACATCCAAGATTACTCTATCCAGCAAAGATCATCTAGAACTGAAGAACAGATGCTCTTCTGAAAAGTGTTCCTGGCCTCTCCTGCTGGTTACAGTACCTGCCCTCTTCAGGAAATCCAAGATATTCTCTGTGTACAGTAGTCTCCTCCATTATCCATGGTTTCAGTTACAGTCAGTGGTAGTCCAAAATATTAAATTCCCCCAACCATCACCACAGCCTTGTTCCTAACATCCAACCATTGACACTGTCATGACTTACTGATCCAGGGTCACCCGAAGCAGATGATCTTCTACATCAGAGGGTTAACAGTAGCCTTAAGTGATGCTCACATCATGCATCTCACTTCATCTCATTATGCAGACAATTTTATCATCTCACATAATCACCAGAAGAAGGGGGAGTATAGTCCATAACATATTTTCAAAAAGAAACTACGTTCACACCATTTTATTACAGTTTATTGTTATAATTGTTCTAGTTTATTATTAGGTATGATTGTTAATTTCCTACTGTGCCTAATTTATAAATTACACTTTGCCATAGGAATGTATATATAGGAAAAACACAGTATTTACTGTAATATCAGGCATCCACTGGGGGGTCTTGGAACATATCCCCTATGGATAAGGGGGAACTACTGTACCTCTCTCATGACACCTGGCATACTTGCCCCCAGACTCTCGGTTCTGTGGAAGCAGCAGGAATTACATACGGTTCTGCTTTGCATCCCCCAACAGCACCTTGGGCAATGTCTTGCCCAGAACACTGAAAAACCCAAATATTTGAATTGAATCAAACTAAATTCAACCTCAATTTTGGACAGTGTAAGAGTACTAGAATTCTAAAGTAATTATTTTCCCCAAGTAGAAATAATTGTTTACAGATACATGATTTAGATGTTCCAGCTATAAAGTGTATATATTGCTCTTAAACTCTGAAAAAAACTCCTCTTGAACTCCTTCAAAATCCAAGTCAACTCAAAAGCACACTATAGACAGTAATCCTTGAGATGCCACAATATTTTTAAAAGTATATTTACTAGAAGATATACTCTTAAATATTTGATTTACATTTGAGCGTTTTTAAAAATCTTAACTGTTTATGAGACAATGAATTTTGACAAACTATTAGACCAAATGAACTATCATTAGAACTGGAGATTTAACATAGCAACAACTGACGCTGACCAGAACATTTAGCCACTATACACTACATCATCTTCTGCAGCATAGAAAACAATTTCCAAAATGAAGTAAGGTGTCATTAATTTTCAGCTTCATTAATAAGCTTCAATGCATTCCTCTATAAATGTTTTTAATGTCCTCAATTGAGACAGTAAAACAAAATGAGAGAAAAAAGGTTTCCAGCTCCCTTATTACCAAGGAAAATAAAAATGCAACCTAGCAGACCAAAGAACTATAAAGAACTTAGAAAGAATTTCGAAGCAGTCTAGAGAAGTCAAGGTTTCAGCTTAACTCACCTAGCAGATAGGCTGTCTGCTGGGAGGCCTGACAAGGAATACATAGAATCACTGCAAGAACATGAAATGAAAATGAGAGGAACTGTCTGATGCCTCATTGCTGAGGATGCAGAGCAGAGTCTGACCTACCTGGTTTATCGCTGTGGGAGAGATCTTGTAGGTCTGCAGCTTCTGCTTCAGCAGCTCCGGATCACTGTGACGGAATGGGCACCCTGACAACAAAAGCAGGCCAGAGCACCAACAAGGTTATTTACTCAGGACTTAGTACAGTGCCACACTCGAGAGACTATCTAAGCTCCCCTTAATTGTCTAACAGCTTATTAATAAAAAAGTTAATTGCCCATGAGTGCAACTGCTTTCCTCTCTTTATCTAAGTGACGACTTTGCTGCACGGTTATCAGGGTACCACAGGCTCAAGAGTTACATAGAGCATTACAGCATCGTCAAGCTAAGCTGCTCATTCACTAGGAAGAGAAAACAGTTTTAACTGTGCTACTTGCTAAGAAGCAGGGATAATCACAAAGTAACTGTAAAATAGTTTATATAAAAACTTGATATAATTGCACATTTTTCTACTAAAAAAATTACATAAAAGGCATACTAGAGAAGGAAGATAGTATAAAGAAAAAAATAGATGCAAACTCTAAAAAATATAAAAGGCTCACATCATTTTCGGATATAAATTCTATACCCATTTCCCATTGAGTAGAAATGATATAAAATTTCAGTGAATCATGGATGGTAATGAGACAAACTACTAAGAAAATCTTTCATAGAAAAACAACTTATAGTAGATACATGTCATCTCTGTACTATTTCATGAGAAAAATATAAATAAAGATGGACTACTAAAAATATTTGCATAAATAAGAACACAGAAGAATTAAAATGTAAAAGCTGTAGAGGGCCAAAATCTAGAAATTTTAATATTTTACTAAGTAACTGCAGTGACAAGTCAAAATACTTAACTTAAAATTTAATGTAGAATGCCAGATTATTTTTTTCTGTCATACAGCTCTATAAGTTAATTAGAAACAATTGTGCATTTTAAATGAAATCAACAGGAAATTGGTTGGGGCAAAATAATGGAAAAGAGCCTACAGTTGAAACAAATGTGTTTACCAAAAATCTTAACTACAAATAAAAACATTAATGATAATACACTGGATTCCTACAAATTATGAAATCCACAAAATTCATATTATGTACTTTATTCAGATTAAAATCATAGTAATTATAGTACAAGGAAATATTTTGAGAAGCTATGTAGCACATGTTTAAACCACACACAAAAATAAATTCAAGGACTTAAATGTTAGACTCGAAACCATAAAAATCCTAGAAGAAAATACAGACTGCAAAATCTTGGACACTGCTTGTAGCAATATTTTTTGGATATATCTTCTCAGATAAGGGAAACAAAAGAAAAAATAAACAAATAGGACTATATCAAACTAAAATGTTTTTGCACAGCAAAGGAAATCATCAACAAAATAAAAAATAGACGGAATGGGAGATCATATTAACTGATACATCTGATAAAGGGTTAATGTCCAAAATGTATAAAGAACTTACAAAACTCATCACCAAACAAACAAACAAACAACCCAATTAAAACTGGGCAAAGGACCTGAATAGACACTTATCCAAAAAGAACATGCAGAAGGCCAATAGTCATATGAAAAGATGCTCAATGTCACTAGTCATCAAAGAAATGAAAATGAAAACCATGTGGAATCTAATGAGCAAACTGAACTAACAAGGAAAATGGGACAGACTCATAGAGAACAGGATGACTTCTGGGTAGGGGAGAGGGGAGGTTGGGTAGGGGAGAGGGTGGAGGGGTTGAGCAAAAAGGAAAAAGGACTTATGGGCATGGATGACAGTGTGGTGACTGCTGGAGAGTGGAGGGCATGTGGGGACTGAATGATAATGGAAAAAATACAATAAAGATTAAATCAAAATAGGCAGATGATGATAGATAGATAGATAGACAGACAGACAGATAGTTTGGAGCTATACTGCCTGCATTTGATTCTAGTTTAACAGTTACAAGCTACAAGACTTAGCCAAATTTTGTAATTCCATGTTGACTCAGCTTCACTTTCTGTCAAGTGAGGGAAACACTGAGCTCTTGTGAGAAGGAATATAAAGCTCTTACAAGCACCTGGCACGTAGTAAGCACGCAGCATGTGTTATTATCATTATTATGCTCAAAACTGAGAATGAAATTGTAAAGAATCACAATGAGAAAGATGAGGCTGTGTGTGGAATTATTGGTTCAGCCCAGAATTATTAAGGACACAAAAAGATTAATTGAATTACCCAAATTATATTTGAAATAATGGCTATACATGTATGAAAGTTTGGAAAGGGCAAAACCAAGTACAAACTAAAGATGGCCAAAGTACTAACGATCACACAAAAGTCTTTTAAAGCTACGTTCACTATAAGGAGAAAGCAGGGGGACCAATTACTACTTAGAGAAGTTAGGGTTATTTTAACAGACAAAAGAAAGAAAATAGAACCCAGAACTTTATTTCTATCTTCCACATCAAAGAGAATAGGAAAGGGTTGAACTAACAACATAAGTGGAACAGTGAATTCATAAACAGCACTGACCACAGCTAAGTGTTTGACAGAGCTTTGTGGAAAAGATGGATAAATGCCACCCGGAATAGAGTTATACCCACACAGATTCATAACTGGTGGTACGACCTTGCTAGGCAGTGCTGCTTAATGAAATAATGTCAACCTAGGGGACTAGTTAGTTTTACAAGTAACACAAAAATAAAAGGATGGAGACTTCTGGTTTCCAGTCCAGCATGTAAGGAGTTTAGAAGTTGCCACTTAATCCAAGTAAGTAAAGAGCTTAACTGAAAAATCCGCAACTCACCTGAGAAGTGAGGTCACAAGGCAAACTGCTCTCCCCCAAACTGAAGAGAGGGGCCATACAGAGAATCACAACTTACCAGAGCAGAAATCTCTGCAGAAATTAGTACTGGTGTAGGAAAACCTAACCTGGACAAATCTCTAGGCAATACTAAGAGTTAAAAACTCCAAGGAGAACCACTCATGCCCTCCCCCACCAGCCCAGTTTTCTAAGTTTAAGCTCCAGAAGCTCCTCCAGATCCTCATAGTAAGAGAGAAATCCCCACATTCTTTTAGAAGGAGAAGGGAAAAAAATAAACATTTTAAAATAGAGTGTCCAGCCTTTTGGTGTCTCTGGGCCACAGTGAAAGATGAGTTGTCTTGGGCCATATATTAAATACACAAACACTAATGAAAAAAGACAAATACCATATGATCTCACCTTTAACAGGAAGCTAAACAACAAAACAAGCAAGCAAGCAAAATAAAAACAAAGACACTGAAATAGAAAACAGGGGGACAGCGACCAGAGGGAAGGGAATTTCAGGGGAAAAGGGAGGGATTTAGAGGAGCATAAAGGACACAGGGACAAGAACTAAGGGGGGTGGAAATGGGAGGGAGGTGGGGAGCACGGGGCGGGGGGGGGGCTGGAATGGGAGAAATAGACAGAATACTGTATTTGAAAAATAATTAAATAAAATTAAAAAAAAGAAAACTGATGAACAAAAAAAGATTTTAAGTAAATTTGTGATTAAGCCACATTCATAGCCATCTTGGGCCGCATGCAGCCCACAGGCTGTGGGTTGGACACCCGATCTTCCTCTTAACAAGGCCTGCCTTCAGGAGACACAGTTTTGCCAGGATATAAAATGCTGGGGTTTCAATAAATCCTAACTTACTTGTGGGAAGGGAAATACCCACCTCTAGCCATCCTGTCCCACCTAATGGGGTAAAAGATGACTAAGAGTCACTAGTGAAATTCATAACTCCAGGCCACAGGCTCACTACAAGACTGAGATCGAATCACAGGGCTATAGAACACTTCCGCCATTCCACTAAAGGCCTGTGTACTGGAGTTCTTGTCACCCAGTATGTCACGTCTACCTTTCAAAAAAAACTACAGTCGTATAAAAAGGCAAAAGATAGAGTTTAAAGAGACTGACCAAGCGTCAGAACTAGAGTCACACGTGAAGAGCTCTAATGGAAAATGTAGATAACCTGGGAGAACAGATGTATAATATAAGCATAGAGGGGATATTCTAAGAAGAATAAAAAAGAGATCAAAACCACTCAAGGAAATGAAGAATGCTTTTGATATGCTTATTAGCAGACACACCCAAGTAAAGACTCTCCGAATTTGAGGATATGTCAGTGGAAACTCCCAAAAGAAGAAGAGAAAAAAGACTAAACAAACAAGCAAACAAGAACCGGACATCCAACAGCTGTGGGATAACTATTAAAGGTGTAACATGCAACAGGTAAAACCAGAAAGAGAGAGGAAGAGCAGCAATAACAACAGAGAATTCCCTTCGAATTAATGTCATATGGCAAACCAAGGATAGAGGACTCTCAAAAAACACCAAGAACAATAAATGCCAAAAAACACATCTTGGTGTAATGATATTCATTCTTTAGAAAATCAAAAATGAAGAAAAAAGTGCTGAAAGAAGCCAGGGAAAATAAACAGCTTAGCCATAGAGGTGCAGAGAGAACATCTAACATTATCAGAAGGCATGCAAACAAGAAGAAAGTGGAGTGAAATATTTAAAGCGTTGAGAGGAAAACCTAGATTTCTCTACCCTGTACCCACAAACCTAGATTGCTGTACCCTGCTAACTTACCAGTCAAAAGAGGAAAAATGGACTTTCTTGGAGAAACAAAAATTGAGGCAACCTGTTGCCAGTGGACCTGCCCTGCAAGGAATGTTAAAGGCAGTTCTTCAAAAAGAAAAAAAATGAAATAGGCCCACAACTATGTAAAGAAAAAAACTATATAAAGAAGAACATCAAAGAATGATAGGAAAACTAAACATTTTTATTTTTGTTACTCATTCCTTTAAGATTTTATTTTATTTATTTTTAGAGAGGGGAAGGGAAGCAGAAAGAGAGAGAGGGAAACATCAGTGTGTGGTTGCCTCTCACATGCCCACTACTGGGGACCTCACCTGCAACCCAGGCATGTGCCCTCACTGGGAATCGAACCTTTGACCCTTTGCTTCTCAGGCCCGTACTCAATCCACTGAGCTACACCAGCCAGGGCTCTTATTCTTAATTCATCTAACAAATAAGTTTGTTTGAAATAATAGGAACAATGTATTTGATTACATTACTTACGTACCTACGTGCGTACATTTATGTGTAAATGAAATGAATGACAGAATGCTATAAGGGAATTAGAAATGTTTCAGTATTTAAACGTACTTGTGCTACCTGTGATGTAGTATAGTGTGATTTGAAAGGAGACTTGGATTAATAGAAATGTATAGTGAAAACTCATAGAAAAGTAAAGCCACTGAAAAAATGTAACATAAGTTGTAATAGATATGCTAAGAAAGGAGAAAAGAGGTAATAATATAAAATGCTCAATAAAACCCACAAAGGGCAGAAAAGTACGGAGGATAGAAACAAAGAGTAAGGGCAACAAATAGAAAACAGTAACAAATACTAGAGATGTTAATCCAGTTATATCGATAATTACCCTAAACGTCAGTGGGCTACAATGAACTGGACATAACCGACTTCTATAAAACAGCCACACCTAACAGCCGATTCCACGTCCCTCTCTGCTCACGTGGCATAAGCACTCGAGAGCGGGACGGCTGCTCAGGTCTGTGGTAGGAGACATCTGGGAACGGTACATTCTGCTCGGTTTTGCTGTGAACCTAAAACTGCTCTACAAAATTAAGTTCTAATTTTAATAAAAAGATAGATAAATGTATCTATAAATAATATGAAATCACTGAGTGTTTGCTAAGTTTAACATTTTTTAACTGATGGTTCAAATTAAAAACAAAGTAAAGCAAACAGCATAGACTGGAATAAATAGGATATCACTTTTCAGAAATAATAATTATAAAATCCTGAATTTAAAGTAATAAAAGTCAACAAAGTAAGTGACAAACGCTAGGACCTGGAAATTGACAGGAGAATCTCTGGGAGGAGTTTCACTTGGCCAAACTGAATCTAAGTTACTTGCCTGTTGGGGCTGCTACGAAACACTAGAGGCTTTCTCAACCAGAAGTGTCTGGCCAGTAGTTTTCCAAGTTCAGAAAACATAAAGATTGTCCAGGGAACTCGTAAATACATCTGACTTTGTATGTGTGAGGGCGGGCCTGAAAATATGCATTTCTAAAAGGTACATTAAGTGACTGACAAGTGGTAAGAATCACTCACTGTTTATACCACCACCATGAGCTGCCTTTTCATCTATTCATATGAATGTAGAAGCATTTTTACGTGCTCTATACAAATGTAGCATCTTTCTTAAAATTCTGTTTGTGATTATATGATCTTTAATAATCTAAGCGTGTCTAAATCTTTTTTAAAAGTTTCATGTAAGATGCTAAAACAAGAAAACTTTGACATACAGTGAAGTGAACTTTAGCAGTCCAGAAAATATATTAATGTGGATTATTAAACCATTTGCTGACGGACCAAATGAAGAAATTTTCAAGGTATGCCAAGGGAACTATTTTAGAGAAAGAGTTGAACTCAGAAATCTATAGAGAATAGTTTAACATGGATAGATAGATAGATAGATAGATAGATAGATAGATAGATACACACACACATACACACACACATATACGTGTGTGTGTGTATTAACCTACAACTCAGGCAAATTGACAGATGTTTGATACCATCAGGACTAGTGAAATTCCTGACTTAATCTGTGTTTGTTAATAAGATGACATTAATGAGAATAAAAGACACTTCCTCGCAGTCTTCTGAAAATTGATTGATCTACTGTTATTATAACATTTGAGGTATTCAGCTTCAAAAAGCTTTGAAGAACTTGTGTTTGTCTCCTAAGACACTCGCAAACCACAAGAAAGACAGAGAACAGCCAGCGAGGGGCGGTGGGCACTGGGCACTGGAGCACCTGGCCCCTCCCAGACTGCCGCAGGCTGGGTGCCTTTCTCTCACCTGACCTAGTTCAGCAGTAAGACAAATGGGCAGAGGAGTAACGGGGCTCTGGCTTGACACTGATAACTGACCTAATCTGGAAACTAGTTCCTGTCAGTAATGCAAAACGCTGTTACCCTGTTTCCGTGTTTCCTGCAGAGCTCATGGGCTTCTGTACTTCACAAACATATCAAGTGGAAGCACTTACCATGATAATCCCCTTGGCCTGGAGGATTGTTTAGAATAATCTTCATGCAGCTGAAAGGTGTATAGTCTGTCCTCTTGCCTTCTTTTCCAAAGCTGTGACGGATATTGTAAGAGTAGCCTTTGTCAAACTGATTGGAAGAAAAAGAAGAGAAGAAGTAAGTCAACACCGTACCAGTGGTGCCAGCCATGCCAGCTAGGATCAAAGAGCACAAAGTGCTACTTTCTAAAAAAAAAATTCAGCATTCATGGGTACACGTATTGTACATTCAGATCACAGGTATCATTTGGGTCTTTTATGATACAAATAGTTTTTTAAGGTACAAAACTTATAAGAAAGAAATTTCTTAGGTAGAAACAGCTAGTTTATGTTTGTAAAGATGAGGCTAATCCCTTCCTAAGAAAAATAATCAGTGTGCCCATTTCTTGGTTCAATTCCAATTATACTAGAAGTAAATCAGTTGAGCCTCTTCACCAACCTTATCTGAGTTCTCCTGGAATTCCCACATTCCACACATTCTAGTTCTGAAATGCCTGTTAACATAATTAACCCCTTCCTCTGTGTTTTCACTATACAAAGCAAGTAGTCAGCAAATGCATGATGAATGAATGAACTATTGCTACTACCTACTACCTGGAATGCCTGCCTCCACATTTATATCAAGCTAATGGGATAGAAAGACTTTGAGATGGGTGGGATAGGAAGAAAAAAAGGAACTAACATTTATTGAAAGGCTCAGTATAGTGGGACTAAGCTGTCTAACACCTAAAGTAGGAAAGATAATCATAGTAAGAGAGATGGAAAAATACTCTGTCATTTTGGGGGTGAAATTTTTTAATATTATAATTTATATATAGTGAAAGGCATAGATCGCAAGTCTATTATATGATAAGTTTGGAGAAATCACTGTACCTATGTAACCTGTCACCCATACGCCTACCGAGAGAGAGAGAGAGAGAGAGAGAGAGAGAGCGAGCGAGCGAGCGCGAGGGCATTTCCATCATCGCAGAGTTCCCTGGTTCTGCTTCTCAGTCAGCGTTCTTCCCCTCTCTCCATTCCCAGAGCTACTCCAGGGCTCATTTTTTGTCACTGTAGTTTGTTATTCTACAACTTTATATAAATAGAATCACATAGCATAAAGTGTTTTGTGTCTGAGTTCTCTCATGTATTTTTATGTTTTTGAGATTTATTATACGTATTTGTTTGTTCGCTCATTGCTGAGTAGTATTCCAGTGTATGAATACATCCGACAGTTTCCCTGGTCTCCTACTGATGGGCTTTTCCAATTTGGGACTATTATCAATAAAGCTGCCATGCACATTTTTTAATTTAAATATTAAATTCATTGGGGTGACAATGGTTAATGAAATTACATAGGCTTCAGGGGGAACAATTTGATAACACATCATCTATAACTGTATTATGGGTTCACTGCCCCCAAGTCCAGTTTCCTTCCATCACCATTTACCCCCCTTCACCCTCTCCTCCTTCTCCCCACCCCCTTTCCCTCTGGTAATCACCACACTGTTATCTATGAGCTTTCTTTTTTCTTTTTTTGCCATAAACATGTATAGATGACTTTTGTGAACATGTATTTCTATTTCCCTTAAATAAATACCTATGGGTGGGATTGCTGCCGACTGTTTTTGCAGAGTGGCTGTACACCCCCACCAGCAATGCATGAGAGTTCCACGTGCTCCCTGGTGACTAGCACTGTTGAGCACTATCTCATACTTCTTTCTTGACTAGTGATATGCCTAATTTATAAACTGTCTCTTCGTCTTTTGCCCATTTAAAGAAATGAACTGTCTTATTTTAATCATTTCACGTAAGAATTCTTCGTATTTTCTGGATACAAGCCCTCTGTCAGATAATGCAGGTCAGGTTCCAGAGCACTGCAAAAAAGTGACTGGTAATCTTTCTGCTAGTAGAGAGTCTTGCCTTCAGTTTGTAATAAGCACACCACCTCTGAGGCGCAATAGTTAGGTATGTCTGCGTAGATGTTACATATTTTCACAGTTTGTGGGCTATTTATGAGACCAACACCTTACCACTTGGCCACGGTGCCTGTGTTAATGGCCTATCTATTTATCTTGATATTATCTTCTGATAAGATGAGCAGAGGTTTTTATTTTTGGTTACTTCCAATTTATCGACTCTCTTATGGTACCGCTCTTTGTGTCCTCCCTAAGGTGGGTTTCAGAGATGCTCTCCCATGTTGTCCTCTGCAAGCTTTCCTGTTTTGGCTTCTAAGTCGAGGCCCAGTTTCATCCCAAGCTAATTTGTGTGTGGCATGAAGTCAGAGTTCAGGTTCTTTTTTATTTCCTGTAGGGGAAGCAAGATCTTTTTCCCTCTACTTTCCTAGGTTCACTTGCTGGGGCCCATGAATCAAACTACTAAAAGACAGGCTCACAAGAAAAAAAACCCACAATTCATGTATACATGTAGAAGCACACACAGACATCTTACAAAGAAGACTCAAAGAGGCAGCCAGATAAATACAAACACATCTTTATAAATGTGTATTTCCTTTATTTAAAGGGGAACTTTATACTTGTGCCTTTAGCTCAAAATAGTCCCTATGCCAAAGTGGCATATTTTGGGATGGCTTATTCTGGTACCCTTCATCTCATGTGAATAAACACTTTTCCCAACACCATCTGTTGAAGGCACTTTCCCTTCCTTACTAACTCACTTTGGTTCCCCCGTCAACATCGACTGTAAGTGTGTGGGTCTATTCTGGACACTGTGTTAGACCACCAATCTGCCTGCCTATCTTTCTGCCAGTGCCGCTCTGTCTTCATTACAGAGCCTTCAGAGTTAGGTCTCAAATTCCGATGATGTAAGTCCTCCTGATTTGTTCTTTTTCAATATAGTTTTGGCTATTCTATGCCCTTGCATTTCCACAGAAATTTCAGAATCAGCCTATCAATTTCTATTTTTAAAAAAGAGCCTGCTGGAATTTTCAATAATCAGTAGCCTACGTCTTCACAACTACCTATCTGCCCATAGAAATCTACAACCAGGAAAACAAAAGGTATTTCAACTAAAAGAAAACTTTCAAAAAGAGAAGACAGACTTTCAAAACAACATTAAGTTTCAGCAGTGAAAACAAGACCGTTTAGAAGTTCCAGCAAACATCTTTTACAAATAACTCCTGTTTGTAAGTTATAAACATTAACTATAATCAATCACTTTGTGTAGACTTCTACATATGGACTGAATTTAAATACACACGAGATTTCTGTTTGCTCATCAGCAAACACCAAAAGACCTTTTTGGTCAGCTATCCTATTAAAGCAATGGAAGGCTACTCTCTCAAAAGGACGGAGAGCTAAATTAGTATTTTTCGCTGCCCACCTGTGTGTACATGCCTAAAATTTGGACCTTACTATGCTTTTGGACTATCTGCACATTCATCACACAAAAACAGCCCTCTCTAGTTTTCAGACTGGCAAATTCTTGTAATGTTGTACAGAAGGTGTTGTTACTGGAAGAAACTTTCTAGAAAACACTTTCTATGTGTCCATATCCACAACTCAAAGGAATATCCTTAAGTATTTACAGGGGACTTGAGTGAAGAACGCACTTCCCGCTCTTGGCTCCTCCGTCCCACTCTTTCCAGTGACAGGAAATGCCAGGAAATCAATATTGGTCAAAAGGTGGGTAAGTGGCGGTCTGTGACCTCCCAAATTAGTCCTGACATCCCAGCTGTGGCCCTGGCAACACAACAACCTGTATTTCCAATGAAGTCAACGGTAAGTTATTTTCAGGGGCACTATGTTACTAATGGAACTCAAGAAAAGTGATAAAGGAGGCCCATCTGTTTGTTTTTCTCTTGTAAATCTGTCTTTTGTCAGTCTAATTTACAGGCCCCCAGCTGAAGAACTTGAGTAGAGAAAAAAGGGTATCTTCCTCCCTTAAAGTTTCATCCAATAAGAGTAGGACATATGTTCTCCATCTTCACCTCCTAATTCCTTTCCTTGTAGTCATGGAGAAGGTTTTCAGTTCTAGAGTAAGCAGATATTCTTTCCTTCAAATTTCCCCCGAGGCAGGGTGAAGCTAACATTTTTTAATTTTTAAAAGATTTTATTTATTTTTAGAGAGAAGGAAAGAGAGGGAGAAAAAGAGAAAAAATGTGTGGTTGCCTCTTGAGCGCTCCCTGCTGGGGACCTGCCTCAAACCCAGGCATGTGCCCTGCCTGGGAATTTTATCAGGGACCCTTTGGTTCACAGGCCTGCACTCAATCCACTTAGCTGCACCAGGCAAAATTTTTAAATTTTGATTGACCAGTTTGTTAGAAAATGAAAAGGAAATAGCAAAATGCCAAAGCCACAGGAAAAGGATTGAATAAAATGATAGCATGTGATTTCACAAGGTAATTAAGCAGACCACGTTCAGTAAAGCCAGCAGATCGAGAGAAACATCAGCTGTATATTAAAAAAAAAAACCTGTCAGAGTCACCAGAGTTAAATGGGGAGCTATCTGTTCAGGAATGCTGGCGGTGTGTGGGCTAGCAGCTGTTGTTTCTCTTTTTCATGTTCTACTATGCAAGACTCTACCCAAACAGACTCAGAAAACAAGATCTGAGGGTCATCTGTGACCAGGGGCTGTGTGAGCCCCATCATTCTAACTGTACGTATTAGGTCAGCTGTTACATAAAGAACATCATTTATAAATTCTTAGTGTAGAATTTAGTACAAATACAATACTGTTATTAACAATAAAAAATAAAGTAATACTTAGTGATATGTCATTACTAATAGCTTACATTTCTACAGATCTTCAGCGGTGACAAAATGATGATTCTCAGACCCTTTACTATTTATAAAATAGTAAAATAAGGTTTAGACATCCTTATTTTATAAAAGGAAATTAAGGCTTCAAGAAATCAAGTGAATAGTTATTTCAAGTACTTAGGAATAAGTAATTCTAGGGGAAAAGCTGGAATTAAAATCCTAGTCATATACTTTCTAGAAAATGCTACAATATTATAGATGGAGACAATGCATAAATAAATAAATATGAGCAATTGTCAGTTATCCATGGCAAGCATTCAACTGCAGGCTGCTTCCTCCTGTCAGTCAACTTCTTCAGGGACATGTGAAAGTCAGAGTAAACCACTGTAAAACAAAACGTTTCTGATTCTAGTGAAAAACGGAGAAAACTGTCTACTCTCAAAAGAAACACTAAGTCTAGCAAGCCACTCACATATCATTTATTTGGTTTCTAATTTACCATAACTTTAAAATCACAAAAAATGGAAAATTTGAAATTACATATTTAAAGTGAAAAAATGCTAGTGTTTCTAAACAATAAAAATGAAATAGTGTATCTGCATGCTTTCAAATTATGAGGTACCCTGGGTAGTCCTCCTCCTGTAGTATTCTACTTGGAGACCTGATAAGGAAATGGAGAGCAAACCCAGAGAGAATGCATCGTGAAAAATGGAGAAGAAAGAACGCAGAACACACCATCACTTACTTAACTGCAACTTGAACTACAGCTTTAGCAAATTTAGCTTCTTTATCAGATTCCTAAGTTAAGAGCTGGAACAGGCTTCAGGCATCATCTAGCACAGCTATTATTACATAGGAAGCAGTAACAGAGCATCTAGCCCATACTTGCAAGGTGAGTTGGGGAAAGAAACCCTATCTGTAAATCCCGCCAAGCCTGGCACATTGTAGCTGCTCACTAAATGTTTACTAGGGCAAACTCCTAAGCATCTTCTTCGTCCTGTATGGTCATTGGCTTGTTCCTACCAGAGGACGGAAAGCTAATCTTATATTTATTACTTTCACTGACTGTTAACTTTCACTGACAAGAGATTTAAGAAATTTCTATCACTACATACTGTAACTTAACACATCACTTAAATGGAGGCCTCAACGATCCCACCTGGAGGAAAGGGGCTGGAGGAGTCATGCAGGTCATTTTAATTGCTGTCTGTTCAGCTCCTGTGCCTTGATATCAAGAAAAGGACATTTCCTGACAACTTTTAGCATCTCGCCTGGAACAGAAGTTTTACAGAAGTGTGCTATAACTCACTGATAAAAACCACTGCCATTGCAGTCAAAGTTGATTAAGATTCTAAATATAATTTGCCCAAATTTGAAGACAGAAACCACAAACAACCCTTCATTCACTCAAATGTATTTACTGAATCACACACTTAAAGCCTAAAAGACAATTTAGTAACTCTTCAGAGGTATTCAATTTAGTCACTGACTCACTGGTAGGATAAGAGCCAACATAAAACAAATATCACCAGAGAAATCACAGGGGCTGGCTGACTGATGCAGAATGCTCTAGTCCGAGAAGAGTGGCTCAGCGTGAATAATTTGGTCTTCTCACTCATAGCACACAAGGGCAGCAAACCGAAAACATCATCCAAGCCTGCAATCAAAGACTGCACAAAGTTCGCTGATGAGAAGGAAAAGGCTTCCTCTTCACAGATGTAAGGATTGACTTTTATAACACTTTGAAGTAAAAATGAAATGTAAATGTATTTAACTTCTGCTAGATTAGTTTAATCCTATTTACTTATTTTCATAGGAATCTTTGTCAATTTTTCTCACACTTTGCTTCTCTAGATTGCCTTATTTGACAGCTTTATTCTCCGGTGAGTATTTTCTATCACTAAATATCTATATTTGATCTGCTAACAGAATTAAATGATCTCCCCAAAGTCACCTCAGCGTAGTGAGACATTTCTCTCATCAGATTACATGTCGTCTTTTAGAGCAGTGACCAAAAGAAAAAAAAAATTGCATTCGATTTTAAAAGCTAGCAAAAAATGGTAGATGAAGGTACCACACCTGGAAATAGCAAATGGCCTGAAATGAACTTTCAATTTACAGTGACAAGCCAAACTTCCTCTACTGCACAGGTGGCAAACACAAGGCCCGCAGGCTGAATCCGGCCCTCCACCTGGTTTTATCCGGCACCTTGTTTCTACCCAGTGGCAGCACCGAGCTCTCGCTTAACCGTTAAGGAGTAGTTACATTTACACAGTCCTAACATTACATTCGGCCCTTTGAGGACAACCATGAGGCTGATGTGGTCCCCGGTGAAAATGAGTTTGATACCTCTGCTCTACAGTTTCAAAAACAAACCGAAGATTTGTTGCCTTCTGTTTATAAAAATAGCTTCTGCTATAAGAACTTAATGATAATTTTCAACTTGCTTCAAATATAAGGGAGGGAAACAAAAAAGTTTTCTGGCATAATAATAAGGGGTGATTACTATATATGTAAATAAAGGCATTTTAATTTCTATAACGTCTAGCAAGTCTTCCAGAACTCTACAAATTACAACACACTGCTATGCTTCCCAATATAAAATATAAGAAAGTTTGATTTGTTACAAAGGTTGTTCAATGCCAACAGGTATAGGTGTTTTCTTACATAGTTCAAGGATACCTAGCACACAAGACTTAAGTGAATTTTCAGGTTTATTTTAGTGGGTTTTTTCTTGCAACATTATACCACTTACCTACATAACCAACATATAAATATTATTTAATACAAAGAAAAAGCATATCAAACTCCAGGGAAATATCTGAGAAGTAATAAAATATTCATGAAAGAAGAGAAATACTTCCCCCTCTCCCCTTTTATTGATACATTACTCACAGGCATCAGAATTAAAGTCTCCAAAGAAAGTGGCTGCTTTCTTGTAACCTAATGTAACTAAATTGAATGTTGTGTTCTCAGCAATGCAAGAAGAAGGCTATGGAAACTTATTGTACAGCTTCAGGGCATGTTTGCTTCCCAACTTTGCGCCGTCTCATTAAGAAACTTAATTCATTCTGCCATGCTGTTCTTTTGAATTAACTACATGCAGAGGACATGCTAAGAGAAAAGAATGACAAGATGAACCAGAGAAATACTTCAATTCCACCCACTTAATTTTTAAATCACGTATTTTTAAATGTTAGAAGATCCTTTAACAAATCTTTTATGCAATCACTTATAGCGATTTAATGTAAAATTAATATATCAATGATATATTATGGTGAACATGACCTAAAAGAACAACGGTGGAGACTAATCTGCTCACTGAGCAAAGACTAATTCAGATACAGTTTGAGACATTTGAAAACAAAGAGTTTTGGTTTTGTTCGAAACAAAATCTTGAAGTCTGTAATACCTTAGTGAAGAAAACCAAAACCAAACCAAATAATAAACACACACAGTTTACATTAAATTATGAACATGAACATTATTATTACCTAAGTCTGATACACAACTCTCACCCTTCTGAAGAGTGAATTTTTAAACCACTTGGTAATTATCTCATTTACTTTCAACATACCAGTTAACTTATTATATTTCCTGATGGATACCTGAGTACCAGAGTTCAATAGCAAATCTGAAACTGCAGTCTAGCTCCGCTGATTCCCTATCCAGAGCTCATTCACCGACTCATGACACGTCTCAGCTATTTACCATGTGTCGTGAAGGATACAGAATAGCTTGTCGCAATGTATTAGAAAGAGCAAATACATTATAGTTGTGTTTAGCAGCCTACCAGGCTCCATTTTTATGTCTGGGTACATTTTAAAATTCAATAGATGAAAACCACCATTTGGTGCTATAGAAATTACTGCCTTGTTTATTGGCTCTATTACCTTGACACAGAAAGAGAAAGAGATCTTGGGCTAGGTCATACATTCAAGATCCTTCTACCTGTGATATCTATCTACAAAGTAGATAGAGTCTAAGTGTATTGTTTATTCATCAGGAACTTGGTTTAAACGTGTTTGGATACCTATTCGGCACCCAGGTGGGCATGTAGAAAAGGCAGTTGCATAGGTATGAGTCTAGGGTAGGAGAGCTCTGTCTGGACCACCACAGAGAATGCAATATCCAGGAAGACAGGCCTGGTCTCTTTGTTAACTACTGTGCCTTTAGTTTTGTCCTGTGACAAAGCCTAGCACATAACCAGTGGCTCTGTAATTAAATGGGACCAAATGCAATTGCTGTGACATTACTCATTTTAATCTACATAAATGGCAATTTCTTATGGCTTCACTTAATACTTATCAAATGAGTAATAAACTATAACTGTTCACAGTCTTTCCTCTGGGCCTGAGCTAAAAAAAAAAGGGTGTCTTTCTAGGAAAAGGGTAGAGCAGAGTGAGCGGAGGAGCCCAAGGTTCATCCTGACTCCTTTTCAGAGTAAGGAGCTGAAGTCCACGCTCCTTTTCTTACCCAGTGCATCACAGGCACTGGATACACATTTGTTGCTGGGGTGACGATGACTATAATTAGTTTGTCCTGATATTTCCTACAAGTAATTATTAGAATTTTAAGAATAGCCTCGTGTAAATTATATAAGAAGTTGACTTTGAATGCATTTGCAGTACCATTCTCAGAATACAATCCCCATTTTATAGCTAAAAGAACTGAGTAACTGATTATTTCTCCAAAGCCACAGCAGATGCATAGAGGGAAAAAAGAAAACTGAAAGTCTCTAAGTTTACTTTTATGCCCAATTCATGATAACATGTCTTTATCACCAACTATACAGAAATATTATACATCTGTATTTATAAGTATGTTCTTACGATATTTAATTATATTAGGAATTTCCCCCCTTAACTTTTCTTCTATACTGTCATTTAGAAGCTTTTAAAGAAAAATCCAATTCCTTAAAATTTTACCAACATAGCCACCTAGATAATCATGTGAAGCACCTCTCCTCCCAAAATGCACACACCCATATATATTTCATATATATGAAAAATGTTTCAAATGACCACATTGCTACAAAAAATTCCTTGAGTAGCTATCTTTTCCAGTTTACCATGACATAAATTAAGCATTCACTGTAAGTTATCACTTTCTGTTCTGCTTTACAAAGAAAAGCTGTTCCTGAAATAAGAACTCTTAGTATACATTAATTTGAATGTAATGTTTAAATGACAAGGTCATAACAAAAACAAAAGACGGAGACAGCTGTAAAAATCTAAAAATGGTGCTCTGATATGACAATTTCCAGAATCACAAGTCTACTAGCCACTTCACATGTAGATTAATTTTCTTTAAAACTTGAAAGCCACCTCTGGTGCCCCACACAGCATGCAAATGAGCAGAATAGTGATGAGAAGCACAACACGCATAAAATTACAGAAGTAATATTTTCATGTGCAGCTTTCAAGAGCAATTTGTTGAATACTAATAATTCTCAAATCATGTTGATACACTTAATTCGTTTTTAAAGAAATAAAAGCACATTATCACTTTGGAAACTTCAATAAGAGATAATGAGAACCTTTCCATCAAGTAGCTACTAATACATGATACATACACACACACACACACACACACACACACACACAGAGAAGAATGTGTTGTCTCCTGTAATGCTGAACGATCCACCCTGCACAAATCTCGCTGCTCTGACTTGTGCTAAGCGCTGATGTGCCCCATCATGTGATTTAGGTTTCTCTCCCTTCACTGTATTAAATCCAACTGGACAGTGAGTTGTGGTAGCAGGGACTTCTCTCAATTTCCTTAAACCCCTCTGCCCACAATTCCTGACAGTGAGGATCTTCAAAAATTATACATTAAATTCCACACATATTCACATAAAATTGCATATAAACATATAATGAACATTTTAATGATACTGATTCTTCCAATCCATGAACATGGTACATGCTTCCATTTGTGTCTTCCTTAATTTCTTTCTTCAGTGTTCTGTAGTTTTCCAAGTACAGATCTTCTACCTCCTTGGTTAAGTTTATTTCAAGGTACTTTATTTTTCTTGTTGCTATAGTAAATAGGATTTTCCTCCTACTTTCTGTTTCTGATATTTCATTGTTGGTGTACAAAAATGCCTTCGATTTCTGAATACTGATTTTTGTATTCCACTCTTTTGCCAAATTCACTTATTAGGTCTAGTAGTTTTTGGTGGAACCTATAGGGCTTTCTGTGTACAGTATTATGTTGTCTGCAAATAGTGACAGCCTACTGCAGCCACTGTGGAAAATAGTATGGAATATCCTCAAAAAACTAAAAATGGAACTTTTGACCTACAGATTCCACTGCTAGGATTATACCCTAAGAATTCTGAAACACTAGTTCAAAAGAACCTGTGCACCTCAATGTTCATGGCAGCGTTATTTACAATAGCCAAGTGCTGGAAACAGCCTAAGTGCCCATCAGTAGGGGAGTGGATAAAAAAATGTGGAATACTACGCACCAGAACAAAAGAAGGAGCTCCTACCTTTCACAGTAGCAGGGATAGAACTAGAGAGTATTATGCTAAGTGAAATAAGCCAGGCGGTAAAAGACAAATACCATATGTCATCACTTACAACAGAACAAAACAAACAAACAAACAAACAAACAAAAAATAGATCCAGAGGCATGGAAGCAAGGAACAAATTGACAGGGACCAGAGGGCGGGGGAAGGAAAGAAGGGAAAGGGCCTATCAGGGGTGTCCAACCCACAGCCCGCATGCTACATACAGCCCAGGACAGCTGTGAGTGCAACCCAACACAAAATCATAAGTTTACTTAAAACATGAGATGATTTTGTGATTACATTTCACAAGGTATTTAATGTGTATTCCAAGACAACTCTTCTTCCAGTGTAATGCAGAGACGCCAAAAGGTCGGATACCACTAACGTTAAAGAACAAGTATACACAGCTGCCGCTCAACACTATTCCAAAAGCCAGTGGAGGAACACTGGCTTTTGTTACTATTTTATCATTATGTAAATCGAATAGGTTTTCTTTTCCAATAAAACTCTATGTGTAAATTGCCAACATAAATATCATGGGGAAAAATTATAGGAATGTTGCCAGTTTGAAGGTAATTTCAATAAAAAAAATACTCCTCAGCTTTACAACCTAAATTGAAACAGTGATTTCAACAGGACCCAAGGACATGGACAACAGGGTGGGGACTGACTGTGGGAACTGGCAGTAGGCAATACAGAGGAAAGCAATGGGGGGAAACT